TGGAGGCAAGAGAAACAAAAGCAAAAATGAACTACTGGGATCTCATCAAAATAAAAAACTTCTGCACAGCGAAGGAAACAATCAGCAAAATTAAAAGGCAACCGACAGAATGGGAGAAGATATTTGCAAATGACATATCAGATACAGGGTTAGTATCCAAAATCTGTAAAGAACTTATCCAACTCAACACCCCAAAAAATATATAATCCAGTGAAGAAAGGGGCAAAAGACATGAATAGACACTTCTCCAAAGAAGACATCCAGATGGCCAACTGACACATGAAAAAAATGCTCAACATCACTCATCATCAGGGAAATACAAATCAAAACCACAATGAGATACCACCTTAAGCCTGTCAGAATGGCTAACATTAACAACTCAGGCAACAACAGAAGTTGGCGAGGATGTGGAGAAAGATGATCTCTTTTGTATTGTTGGTAGGAATGCAAGCTGGTGCAGTCACTCTGGAAAACAGTATGGAGGTTCCTCAAAAAACTAAAAATAGAACTACCCTACAACCCAGAAAATGCACTACTAGGCATTTATCCAAGGATACAGGTGTGTTTCGAAGGGATACATGCACCCCAGTGTTTTTAGCAGCACTATCAACAATAGCCAAAGAATGGAAAGAGCCCAAATGTCCATCGATGGATTAATGGATAAAGAAGATGTGGTATATATGGAGTATTACTTGGCAATCAAAAAGAATGAAATCTTGCCATTTGCAACTATGTGAATGGAACTGGAGGGTATTATGCTAAGTGAAATCAGTCAGTCAGAGAAAGACAAATATCATATGACTTCACTCATATGAGGACTTTAAGAGACAAAACAGATGAACATAAGGGAAGGGAAACAAAACTAATATAAAAACAGGGAGGGGGACAAAACATAAGAGACTCATAAATATGGAGAACAGAGGGTTACTGGAAGGGGTTTTGGGAGGGGAGATGGGCTAAATGGGTAAGGGGGACTAAGGAATCTACTCCCGAAATCATTGTTGCACTATATGCTAACTAATTTGGATGTAAATTTAAAAAATAAAATTAAAAAAATAAAAAAGAAAAAAGAAAAAGAAAAAATAAAAGAAAAGAAAAAAGAAAAAAGAAAATCAGCAATTCACAAAGGAGGGCTGTGAAGAGGAAGAAAGAAGTCAGAGAACTACAAAAAAAGCCAGAAAACAATAAGCCAGTATTAGTAAGTCCTTGCCTATTAACACTTACTCTAAATGTAAATGGATTGAATTCTCCAATCAAAAGGCATAGACAGGACGGATGGATAAAAACAAAAAACCAAAAACAAAAAAACAAAAAAAACAAAACAAAACAAGACCCAACTATATGCTGCCTACAAGAGACTCACTTCAGCTTTAAGGACACACATAGATTGCAAGTGAAGGGATGAAAAAAGATATTCCATGTAAATGGAAACCAAAAGACACCAGGAGTAGCCATGCTTATATCAGACAAAACACACTTCTGGTGAAAAATGGTAACAAGAGACAAAGAAGGTCATTATATAATGATAATGTGTCCAATGTGTCAAGAAGATACAATAATTGTAATATATATGCACCCAACAGTGGAGTTGGGTGCATATATAAGCAAATACTAACAAATATTAAA